TCCCCCTCTCTCTTTCCCCCTCTCTCTTCCCCCCTTTCTCTCTTCCCTTGCCTTGCCTTAACCCTCCCCAATAATTAGTGATATACGTGTGGTCAAGATTCCTGAAGCATTTGCACCACCTCATACGAAACCTGGTCATCTTTCCTCAATCATGGCGGCTTTGTTTACATCACAGCCTGTTGGATCAAGGCATCACAAGTGGACCCTGGCTCCAGGCTGGGCTCGGGGGAGTAGAACAACTCCCACAACCAGTTTATACTCCAGGGTATACTCCAGGTATACCCCAGGTATACCTTTATGAAACAGTTTACGAGGTGTGAAGCACCACGAGGTTGTTCATAACAATAACACCCTTGTCTTGTGGCGTTCCCGAGCTCGTAAACACAGGTGGTGTGTGTTGAAAGATGTGTACACGCTTTGTATGTGGGTCTCATTTATGGACGTCTCTCTCTCATTCACCAACGTGTCTCATTTATTGAGGTTCCCGGGTTGCTCTAGTGAGTATTTGTTCCAAGGCTGCTGACAATTGGATTAGCCTTATATCTCGCCCATTGACATTTGGATTAGGTCTATCCTGACTGAGAATTGGATAAAGCCTATGTTTTTCAACGTAGAATTTGGTGGACTTTAGACACCTATTGGTTGTGTAGTGTTGGTTGTGTACAGTTAACACACACCTGTTGGTAGTGTGTGTTAGTAAAAAAAAATCGCAGAAAGCTATTCAAGAAATAAAGAAAAACTCAAAATATTTCTTCACACGCTGAATCAGAAGCAAAAACCACTGCCAGTATTGGACCTATTCGTATTAGTGAAGGTTCATACACTGGGGATGACAAAGAAATTGGTGAACTAAAAAAGCTGTATGAGACAGAACATGTTTAGCACTCCGATACACAGCATGAAATTGGAAGATTCGGACAATTTCTTTATGCGTGATATCCAAACACCTGTAAATATAACTGATATCAACACGAGCATGGCAGATTTTGAAAGAGAAATTGACAATATGCCCATGCACTCAGCCCCGGGTCCAGACTCGTGGAATTCAATATTTATAAAGAAATGCAAAGTGCCAGTAGCACAGGCACTCAGTATAGTGTGGAGGAAGAGCTTGGACACGGGAGATATCAGATGTGCTGAAAGCAGCAGACATAGCCCCTCTACACAAGGGAGGGAGCAAAGCATTGGTAAAGAATTAGACCAGTTGCACTAACGTCCCACATAATAAAAGTATTTGAGAGAGTGATCAGGAATCAGGTCACTAGATTCATGGAAACTAA